GAGAACTCAACCATAGATGAAACCATGGAAGCCATAACTGGCAACTGAGAGAAAGCAATAACAGAGAGGAAAATATGATTTGGTAAAATAAGAACTCACACCTTTCATTGATCAGTAGTGAAGTACTTATATACATGTGTGAATATACATCAACGAATTCTGCAGAAAGGAAAATATCTAACTAACTAATTAGCTCTCTAACCGACTCTGACATCACTAACTAACTGCACTAACTAACAGAAAAGATGGAATCTAACTAACTGAATGTCATAATTAATACACATTTTAATCATGATTGTTAATAGAAACATTTTTGAATTAAATTATAATTGTGGTAGAATCGAAATAAGGTAGAAAATTCAATGCAAATTCTAACAAATCTCCCTTTAGCCTGATTTTTTTGGTAAAATAATCACGATCTTTGTTTTTCACATAATCTTCATATATCACTATGATTATCATGATTAAAAGTTGATATGAGTTAAGAATTGGAGCTTTATGCGTTAAATGTAAGCACGAGTTAATAATATTAGAAAATGAGCGGAGTTGAAAATAGAGTTCATGCGTTAAAATAAGCATGGGTTGAATGTTGGAGCTCAAACGTTAACAATTACTAGGAGTTGAAATTAGTTAGAGTCCATGCACTAGTAAACAAGAGTTGAAAATTGATTTTGTTTTTAAAGATGGAACAATAGGATAATTAGAAAAATAGTTAAAGTTCCATCTCCATGTATAGTATTTCAGACTTATTTGTTTTGATAAAATAAATTCTCCATTATCGTCAAATTAATTGCAACTTCATTTGAACTAGTTTTCAACTTTGCTCGACTGTTGACTCTGATACCACTTGTTGAAATCAAATAATATGGCATCATACGAAATCTAAACAATTGCAAACCTTTAACGACAATAAAAGAAAAACACTAAAAAAGACATAAACCTATCATATCTGGGTCAATTGACCTACACGTGAAAAGCTTAATATTGTTAAAGAAAAGTATGAAACTACCGAGAAAATAATTAGCCCCCTCCCTCCTAAAAAGACATAACTTTTTAACCTTAAAAAAACTACATCGTGAAAGCTATTGTGTTCTTTATGAGAATAAAATATTTTTATTTATGAATGTTCAAGACTTTTCTCTAAAAAAAAAATAGATATAGATTGTTCTGTTCCATTGAAAATTCTTTTTGAATTAAAACACAGTTATGATAGAATCCAAATAAAGTAGAAAGTTCAAGGAAACCCCTAACATAGAGAACTAAGAGACACAACTTCATGAGTTCTGAAACTGACCTTACGTCTTGCAACTTTTTTATTTTATAAGGCATAACTTGTGGCTTTTGAACTTCTTAAGATCATAGGCGAACTCATAAGTTAAAGACAACATGTGCACCATCAACGACGACTAATGTACATTAGTTAAAGCATGTCACCCAATGTCGATTCATGTGATAATTTTGTTAAACATAAATATATAAAACTAATGTACTAACGAATAAATATGAATTAAATGACTTCAATAGATAAAGTTTGCTTTGCACGGTGATGACTTTTGAATTTCACTTTGCATCATGAGGTCGCAAGTTCGAAACTAGCCACTACCATATTATTAAACTTCTCAAATAAAAACGAAAAAAAAACAAGAAGAAGAAAAACGAGAGGGCATTTAAATCAGTGCGCTCAATCAATTTTAGTATCTTAGAGTAGCAAATAAAATATATGACGTATTGAAGAATAGGATATTCGTTCGATTGACCCTTATTAATAGATGAAAAATTTGAGTTGTTACTCGCACTACAATTTGTATCGTCTTGAAAAATCAAAATGATGCACCCAAAACAAATGGTTTTGCTTGCTTGCTTTTATATCTGTGTGGTAATATTGACATTAACCATGGCCCAAACCATCACTAATAAAACTTCCACCATCACTAAAGGTGCCAATGTCACAAAACCAGGATGCCCTAAGCAGTGTGGGAATGTAACGGTTCCTTACCCATTCGGTATTGGCTCAGGTTGTGCTTATAATTCGGAGTTTGAAATCGACTGCGACATTTATATTAATGGTTCTCAGAAAGCCTTCATAAGAAAAGACAATATTGTTGTGTACGGCATCTCGGATGCTGAATTGCGCGTCTCCTGTGACTACGGTTGGAGATGTTACAACTCCACTGAACCCAATGAGGCAATGGTTTCCATCGAATTTTCAGAATCAAGTCCGTATAGTTTCTCTGCACTGAACAAGTTTACTGTAGTTGGTTGCGATGACTACGGTTCCATCTTGGGGCCTAACAACTTTGAGTATGGCTGCAATGTCAGCTGTACAAGCAAAGAGGATGTGATGAATGGAGGAGAGTGTATGGGAAAAGGCTGTTGCCAGAAACAGATACCCAAGGGCTTGAAATACTATAGCACAACCATGTCTAGCACAAGAAACCATACCGATGTTTTGTCCTTCAATTTATGTGGGTATGCGTTTCTGGGCGAGGCAGATAGCTTCCATTTCCGGGGCTTGCCAGATCTAGGTGATGATTATACTGTTGATATTTTTTATGAGAGGTTAAAAGCCACTGTTCCCATTGTGCTGGACTGGGCTATCGGGAATCTTACTTGCACACAAGCTCTGAAAAGAGAGGATTATGCTTGCAGTAAAAATAGCGAGTGTGTTGATTCGGATACTGGTCTTGGTGGCTACCGCTGCAGCTGTAATACAGGTTATCATGGCAATCCTTATCTCAATCAAGGCTGCCAAGGTATATATATATATATATAAAGGACCATTTCCCAATGAAAGCTATTTTATGCTCCATTTGATCAACTTATCACAAGCTTTGATATAACGGTGTTCTATTTTTTTTTTTTTTTTTTTTCAGATATTGATGAATGTGCTGATCCAAGCACCAATACGTGTGAAAAGATCTGCACAAACACCCCAGGGAGTTTCTATTGTTCTTGCCCTGATGGATATACCGATGATGGCAGCAAGGATGGTCGTAGTTGTATTCCTCCCAATAATCAGTTCCCATGGATCAAGTTCTCTCTAGGTAATATCTTGGAAAACTTTCATAACCACAAATATCCATTTTACGTGATGTTGTTTGACGACCAAAAAAATCGTGGTCCAAAATATTACATTTGTGTAGCTTTAAATAATCTCATTAAGGGTAAAATGATAAATTTAAAGTTAAATTATTTTTGAATATATAATACGTCAGTCTTCATTTAGGATAACTAAAAAAAGTTATCACCGAGAATTATTGTTTTCTGTGCTAGAAATGACTTGAGTGGGGGAGCTTGGAGTTATATTTCAAACTATTTTTGCAAACTTATTTCTTTATTTAACCAAACTTCGTGGGGTAATAGGATCTTAGTATAGTATAAGTGTGTCTAAGTTGGGGGTACTTATGCATTTTCTCTTAATTAAAAGAACTCCAAATTTTGGTATTTATATGGATGATTATGGTATAAGACCAAGATCAAACTCAACTCCTTTTCTTCTGAAATCCGAACTACGTTTGAATATTACATAATGTGTTTGTGACTATAAAAGTGTTACTCCACTGATAACTGATTATTCAGGTATCGGAATCGGCTTTATCTGCCTAGTGGTTGGGGTAACCTGGCTCTATTTCATCATCAATAAAAGAAAATTGGTTAAAGGCAGAGAGAAGTTCTTCCAACAAAATGGTGGTTTATTATTGAAACACAGAATGTCTTCTAAAGAAAGCGGTGTGGAAGAAACAAAAATTTTTACAGCTGAGGAGCTCAAGAAAGCTACAAACAATTATGCCGATGATAGAATTCTTGGTCGTGGCGGCAATGGGATTGTGTATAAAGGTGTGTTAGATGATACTCGCATAGTTGCCATTAAAAAATCTAGAATTGTGGACGAGAGTCAAATAGACCAATTTATCAATGAGGTAGTCATTCTAACTCAAATCAACCATCGAAACGTGGTAAGACTCTTTGGATGTTGTTTGGAAGATGAAGTTCCTTTATTGGTTTATGAGTATGTCTCTGAAGGAAATCTTTTCGAGCACATTCACAACCAACGTGGAGCGGGTTGGTTAACTTGGCAAAACCGTTTGAGAATTGCAGCAGAGATAGCCACTACACTTGCTTATCTTCATTCATTTGCGTCCATGCCTATAATTCATAGGGATGTCAAGTCCGCCAATATATTGATAGATAATGTTTACACAGCTAAAGTGGCAGATTTTGGAGCTTCAAGATTAATTCCTTTGGATCAAACACGTGTGGCTACTTTGGTTCTAGGGACAACAGGGTACTTGGATCCTGAATATTTTCGCACAAGTCAACTGACTGAGAAAAGTGATGTTTACAGCTTTGGAGTAGTTCTGGCAGAACTTTTGACAGGGTTGAAATCTATATTTAAAGACAGAAACAATGTGCAAAAGAATTTGGCTGATTATTTTGTTTCATCTGTGAATAACAATTGCTTATTTCAAATTCTTGATCGTGTTTTGCAAGAAGAGAATCTCGAGCAACTCCAAAAGATGGCTGAGCTGGTGAAGAACTGTCTTCTGCCGCTTGGAGAAGAAAGGCCTACAATGAAGGAAGTGGCTATTGAACTTGAAGGTTTGAGGAAGTTAACTGGGATCTCTTCGTTTAATCAACAGAGGCAGGGAGATAATGATCAGGATGAACCAGTTACTTACACAGTTCCAATAGACTCCATACCCCCAAATTAGACAATTCTCACATAATGCATCCTACATATTTTCCAAGTTGATGTTATGTACACTTCTTTCCTTTTTCCTTTCAAGTTGATGTTATGTTATGTATTTGGATTGTTGGAATATAAGCAGATATCATATATATGAACTTTTGATGATAAACGTCCATTTTTATTGCCAGTAAACTTGAATAAATTGTCAGGAAAAATATCACCCTCTTAGCAGCAAATTTAAGGATCGTCTTACTCCAAGTTTCAAAGTCTTCCTTTTTTTTCCTTAAATATCGTGTTCAACACTTCCACTGCAAAGGGCAATAGATATTTTGTTTGGCACATGTACAAATTGAATAGATTGTTGACCTTGAGATATAGGTTTGTTATCTGGATCTACCAAAAGAATCTAGAGTTCACTGCAGATTCAGAAGTATTGAGCTATTGGAAATTTAATCAAATGAATATGTTACTGCGAAAACACATCATTCACGGCAATCAAAGCTGTAATCGATCAACATTCCAATCTGAATCTTAAAATCTTTCACCATCGTAATTGCAGATTCACTTATTTCACAATGCATTGAGTGAACAGGCAAAAAGTTCAAGTAAACAACTATAGAACATCAACAAACTTCACAGTGCACAATTTTCTCAGTACTGTATTTCTTATCACTTTACGTCACAGAGTAAAGCGTTAGATGACTTTTGGGAATCAGAAACCTAAAATTTCATGTCAGATTCTTCGGATTTCAGGATTATGTTAGCATGATGTACACTCCATATTTATATTAGTTGTTTGACATAGATTTTCTTCTTGATTATATCTTGTTTCCTTTATATTCTCTTTATATATTACGTGATCGCCAGAAAAAAATTTGTAGATCACTAGAAACAGATAATTGCATATGTTGCAACTGACTGACCGAAACATGAAGAACATGCTTGATCATGGAGGGCCTTACAGCCCAAAAATGTTGTACATATATAAGTCTTTACTCCTTATTACTCCCATCATTGTGTGTTGGGAAATCTGGAAAGCGAGGTGTACTATGAGATTTGAGCATAAGCAGGTCAGCACAAATAACATTTGCCACCAAGTTCTCTTTCAGGTGAAAGAATCGATGCAGAAAAAGCTTAGCAGGATGGACCAACATTGGAACTGGCCGGAAGCAACCGTTGATTTGGCATTAGATCCCGTGAATGCGAAGGTAGTGGCAGATGGACCGCAACATGATGCTCGGGGTGTTGAAACTATTGAATGGTTGGTTGACAACATGACGCAGCAGGTCGACAATGCCAATAAAAAATTGAAAGTGATGTCGGAACTAATTCAATTGCCTTGATGAATGCCAAGAGTACAGGTGAGGGAGTGGAACTGGTACATGAATCTAATTGGGATGTGGTGACGAAGAAAAAATCTCCAAGTATTGGAATTGGTTCGCCTATTAGTAACACAGTGCAACCAGTTGTAGATAGTCAAACTATTAATTCAGGTGCTCGAGAAATTGTTCCACAGGTTGTCATGTGTTTCAACACTTTTGATGCTCTTACGAATAATATTAATGTGCATGAGATCAATTCATCTCAAGTTAACTCTACAAATGAATTAGTTATTTCTAAGGAAAAACAAGGTGTGACAAGTACTCTGAGATGGATAGATATAGCAGATGAAGAGGAAGAACAAGTCACTTCTCCTCCTATGCAAAAGAAATTAAGCCCAACAGCTCCTGCTTTTGTGCCTAGTAGTGCTAAGTTAGTAACTCCCCAGCAAGGTTTGTCACCATCAACAAATGTTGCTGCAATCTTAAGTGATCATTTGGTGAGTTCTAATATTGAAAAATTGGCCTCACTTGCACCGATTAACATTAACAAACAACTTCAAGTTGGTGGTAGTAGTACTTTATCCCCAAATAAGTTTGCTAACCTAGATGATGAGGACATCTCTGAGGAGGGTGAGGAAGGTGAGGAAGAGGAAATGTTGGATTACTGTTTTGCAATTGTAGCTAGGAATGTAGATATTTCTCCTGGGCAACAACAAAACGAAGCATAGAAGAAAGCATAGTTGGGATGGTAAAGTGACTGAGGAATTTGTTCCAAGACAACTACCGATGCGACTCGCAAAGCAAAATCATATGGCAGTATCAACAACTTCAACAAGATTCAATAAAGCCAAGAAGTGATGCACTATCAACTGTTATTGGACAGATTTGAAGAAGAAGACAAGAGAAACATATTTCAGGTTCCTTTAGAAGGTCAATCTATCTTGTTTAGTTCATACATTTGTAAAAGGAAGTTTGAGGTTGATAACTCAACTTTCTCCATGGCCTTTATGATTTTTCATTACTTAAGAATCCTCACTTGTAATATCATCATAGAGTGTATTATAAACTTTGTGATGATCATAGAATATCTAGTTCCTTCTAGCTCATATTTTCTTCAGGGTTGTTAATTAGTAGAGGTTAGGTACCTCATTAGGATTGGTAAGGTAAGGCCTAGCCTCCCTTGCTTGTACTTATTCCTATTGAGAATTTTTTATGATTATTATCAATAGAAAGCCACTAGACCACTGTCTAGTGGTACAACTTTGCTTTAAAAAAAAAAAAAAAAGTGTGTCATGTAGCTAAAAATTACAAATTAATCACTATCAGCAGCTTGATGGTTTGCTAGCACAAACCTAGTTATGATGCTTGGATATTGAACACTTATGGGAGCTTCATGAAAGACCAAAACAAGGCAGGGACTGGCAGAATTGTTAGAAATAGAAATAGGGACTTAGACACTTAGTCATGGCCTTTGCTTACCCTGCTCAATTTTACACTAACAACATTAGTGAAGCCTTTGCTGCCTTAATAAGAATTTCATGGTGCTATGAAGAAAACAGCAGAAACATTGAAATGGAATTAGACTTGATGATCGTTATCAACATGATCAAAGGGGTGACTAGACCCTCTTGGAGACTGCAGAATATAATCGATGATATTTAACACAAAATGCAACAGAAGAATGCCACGATTAATCTTTGTTATAGAGAAAGTAATGGAGTTGCAGATGCTCCTGCGAAGCATATGCCACCACCCTTCAAGAAGATTAAATTTTCCTACATAAAAAAGACCTTCATAAGGAGGCTATTGGTCCCCTAAGAATGGATAAGATGCAGCTCCCGCCCTTTCGAAGACGAGCAAAAAAACACTCTTCTCGATGCTTCTCCTACTTTTGTAGATGTTAGTATGTTTAGGCTAAAGCTTCTGGTTACTTGTATGTTTATTTAGGTTTATAGCACTTCAATGTGCCAAAACTTTTAGTCTTGGACAAGATCTCTTAAGAGTATTAACTCCACTGTATACTCTTTTAGTGTCTGGAGATTAGGTTGCCATGTCCCCTCTGATTCTATAATTTTTGCTAATCTTATTTACATGACTAATTAAAAAGAAGTGTAGATGTGTAGTATGAAAAGACGTTTATTATGGAACACACAATTTTAGCCTAATGGACCAAAGTTAGCTAATAACTCTTGTATAGATTATACAAAAATGGTCTTTAGAAATGATGCTAAAACATTCACCACCCATTTTTTATCGTTGTACATGGGTTAATACTTCAGGGATGATTTTAGCTCAAAACTCATCAAAATTCATTTATACTTCAAATTAATTACTAAAGTATACATAATACAACTGCTAAATCCTATATATATATATATATATTTGCTTTGCAGTCGACTTTATGTATATATTAACTAGTTATTTACAACAAACTCCTTGAAGATGAAGAATATGTTTTATCACAGTCGATATGTATACTTCAATTTAATTATAAAAGTATACATCAACTATATATATCAATTAGATATGCAACTTCATGTGTACATAAACTGATTATCTACATCAAAATCCTTTGATACACTGAACAGTACCTAAAATTTAAATATACATATATACACCTTAAATTAGTATATGAATATTTTCATCCCACATTTTTCTCCTTAAATTAAGATAAGAATATTGTCGCCCCAATAGTTTCATGGGATAGTTTTAACTTTTAAATATATACAATTAATAAAGTAGTTAATTTACAATTAATATGATCATGTTTTATTTACATTAAAAAAATCTAAAAATCACAAAAAGTATACAATGATTATATACACATTATGTTACACTCAAAAAGTTGAATATAACTTACTTATACGTGAATTATACACTTATTACTTATGCATTATGATACATTCAAAAAGTTAAATATAGTTTAATTATATATGAAGTACTCAAAAAGTTGAATATAGTTTAACTATACATGAATTATACACCGACTATGCATGAAGGATACACGGACTATTTAATTATGACCAACTCAAAATCTCCTCTAAACGGTCTCAAATTTTAAATGTGAAATTCTCTCAATATTTTAAATTTTTTGATATATAATTTGCTCAAAACGATTCACGTGTGCGGTACATCAAATTTTAAAGAAGAAGAAGGACGAAGCAACATAGCAGAAGACGAATAAGAAGAAGATGACGAAGGAGGAGGAGGAAGACGACGCAATGGGGCATTTTCTTGGAAAAAAATAGGGTTGAATGGCCATTTTAGGTAATTTAAATAAATTGGGCTAAAAGATAGTACGTAAACGTTAAGGGATGATATTTTGCATAATTTGCTCTTAAATCCCTATAAATATGTTGATCTTTACATACGGCCCAATTCTTACCATCTTACCAGATAAGCAAATCATAATTCATAAACCGTAAGACGTCACATTAACAAATCTCATTTCTTCATATTTTTATATAAATAAATACTTGTGATTACATGCTATTATAAACTTTCAAATATACCTAATTTTACAACGATTCAATGGTCCAAAAAATCATAATTGTATTATATAATTAACTAACTAATTTTCAATTTAATCTTTCAAATGATATGAGCAATCTCTCTTCAAATTGAGCGTGAGTCTCTTTTACAAAACTTAAAATTATAGATCTTCTTCTTTGCCAAATATAGATTTATGAGCCAAGTCTTAAATTTTGAAAAAATTAAAATCAAATACTTGGAGTTGAAATCCTACCCTTTGGTAGGATTTGAAATTTAAAAATCAAATTATTAAATAAAAATTAAAAATGTGTTCAAATATCATAAATAAATATTGATTTGAAGTTGAAATTTGAACTCCAAATTATATGACCAAACACCTACAAATAAATTGTTTTTCAAGCACATAGTGGTTTAAAAAAACCTAATAAACCTTAATCATTATGAAGCGTGCATGGCCCATGTTGAACCAGTCTTATCCCATCACATTTCAAGATCAAATGGTTAGTTTTATTAATATTCAATTATCTATCTCTAGCAAAGAACATCCAATTACTATTTTAAATTTTATTAAGCAGTATAATTGTGTGCACACAAAAATAGATTATTACGTTATTAAATTTATATGTCTTTGTTGGGGTTTACCTACGATTTTATCTTCTTTTTAAAAATCTTAGAGTGTTAAGATTGAGATTTTTCAAAATATCAACCTGGATTATATTTGTGTAATTTAACTATGGATATTTATATTTATTTATTATTATTGATTTGTTTGAATCCGTCATGATAAAGCAATCAAAGAGAGTATAATAATGTTATAGTTGACATTTTTGTTGTAATACGCAAAAATCTTATGGTTGATCGAAACATTGACAAGCTAAACTACTTTCAGTGACAATTGAAATAGACTTGGCAAACAAATGTCACTATGATAAAACCAACTTTTAGTGGCAAGAAATATGCATATTAACAAAGAATGATAAAATATTAGCGGTATTAATTAATTGTCATTGAATTCAATATCGCTATAAGTTTTAACAACATTTACAAAAGAATGCTAAAATGTAATTGTCACTAGTAATTGCCTCTAAAAATATATATTTAACGGCAATTAAGCCTATTACCGTTAACTAATTACCGCTAAAAAATATTTTGTGCGTCAATTAACAATTTAAGAAAATTTATTCTTCAACGGGTAATAAGAGTTTTACCTATTCAAAGTGATTTAACAAATGAACTTAAAAATGCAACAAAACAAGGCTATTGACATCGTCCAAAGATGACCTACTAACTGGTATTTAATTCTGAAAATGTTAGCTATTAAGTGGGATTTATGTAAGTTACTCACAAGAAAATGACGAGTAATAAATAATATTTTTAAAATACAATAACAATGAGGTTGTTAGTTTTGTTCATAAATTTGATAAGAGTTATTAGTTTCATCTCTAAACTATTGACAACCTTAAAGATAGTCCTCTACTTGCCTAATTAAATTTTAGGCATGATTGACCCTAACCGTCTTTAGCTTTTTGCATTAATAATACAAGTTCTGCATAAATTGTCCCTATTTTGGGGTGGTCTTTAATTTTTACTTACTAAATTAATGATTTTAATTTTTTCCCTCATGTTTCTCATTGAATAAAAATTTGTGGGTACAGTATCTTTAATTATAAATTGTGTAGCATATAATTCGTAATACATAAGTTAGAAAATGTTTGCCTTATCAAATCAAAGTTTAGAGCGTTGGGATTAAAATAATAGAGCGTCAAAGCTAACAATTACAAATCTTTTAACAATAATGAATCGGACAATTAAAGAAAAAACTGAAAAAGGACATTAAATTTGGTATACCTTGGTCAATTGACCTACTTATAAAAGAAATCATAAAACCTATTGAGGGAATAATCTTCTTCTAAACTAAAGTCTTCCCGAATGTTATTGTGTTCTAGTATGAGAATAAAAGATCTTCTATTTATTAAAGTTCAAACTTCTTTTTCAAGAAAATAATAGATATAAAAGAGTTTTTTTCCACGAAGAAAATTTTTTGTACCAGGAAAATCTTTTCGCATTAAGACACAATTATATATGGTAGTATTCAAATAATGTAGGAAACTCGATGCAAACTCTAACAAATCTCCCTTTGACCTGAATTTTCTAGTAATATAATCATGATTTTTGTTCTTTATATAATCTTTTTATATCACTACTGTTAACGATGGTTAAAAGTTGATACACGTTAAAAATTGAAGCCATATGCATTAAATGTAAGCACGAGTTAATAATATTAGAAATTACCAGAGTTGGAAATAAAGTTCATACATTAAAAATAAGCATGGATTGAAAATTGAACTCCAAGCGTTAACGGATAGTAGGAGTTGAAATTAGTTGGAGTCCATGCACTAGTAAGCATGCGTTGAAAATTGATTTTGTTTTTAAAGATGGAACAATAAAATTGTTTAAAATATGGTTAAAATTTCATATTGACATGTAGTATTTCAGATTTATTCGTTTTGATTAAAAAATATCTTCATAAACACTAAATTGGTTGCAACTTGATTTGAACTAATTTTCGACCACACTCAACCATTGGTGTGGATACCACTTGTTTGAATAACATGGCAATAAAAGTAAAACACTAAAAAGGGCATAAAACTTAAGTATTATATTTTGGTCAATTAACCTACACAAGAAAAATTTAATATTGTAAAAGATGCATAAAACTATTGATAAAATAACTTTCCCCCTCTCTCCCAAAAAATGACATATTTTTTTTAACTCTAAATGACAACATCATGGAAGCTATTGGGTCCTCATGAGAATAAAAGATTTTTTATTTATAATAGTTCAAGATTTCTCTATGAAAAAAGATGGACATATAGAAATAAGTTTTGTTCCACCGAAAAAATCTTTTTGAATTAAAACACAATTGTAGTAGAATCCAAATAAGGTAGAAAATTACAGGCAAACCTTAGCATAGAGAACTTTATGAGTTCTGAAAATGAACTTATTTCTAGCGGATTTTTTTAATCTTATAATTAAGACATAACTTGTGTTTCGCGAATTTTTTATCTTGTAAAGCATAACTTGTGTCTTGTAAACTTATTTTGCATTGCAATTTTTTTTCAATATCAATGGTATTTTGAAAAATTTACACAAATTTCTTAGTGTTAAGATCTAATTACATTTTATCTCTACTTGTTTTCAAATTACAAAAATCCCTTAAATTTGGTGAAATTCGAATGCATCTCAAAACGTCTTGATACATCGCGTCCTAGTTTCAGATACATCGCTCAACGTCTCAATATATCGCGTCTCGATTTCGGATGCATCACTCAACGTCCCGATACATGATGTATCTGACTGATACATCACGGAAAGTGATGTATTACATGCCGATACATCACGTATAATGATGTATCTGATCGATACATCGCGTAAAGTAATGTATCCGATCGATACATCGCATAAAGTGATGTATCTGAGTAAAGGAGAGTAGAGAGTTTTGTAATTTTTTTAAATGATTGAGAATTTTAGAGAATATGGTCAAATAAGTTGTATATTTAGGTAATTCTTCCTATTTTAAACCTTTCTTCATTGCAAAGATTAGAGAAGAGTCCAAAATAGAGTATTCCTGCGAATGACCCGTATTAACATATGAAAATTTTGAGTTGTTACTCGCACTAGAATTTGCATCATCTTGGAAAGTCAAATTCATGCACCCAAAACAAATGGTTTTGCTTGCTTGTTTTTTCGCCAGTGTGGTTACATTGGCACTAACCACGGCCCAAACCAACACTAATACAACTTACACCATCTCTGAAGGTGCCATAGTCACAAAACCAGGATGCGCTAAGCAGTGTGGAAACGTTACGGTTCCATACCCATTCGGTATTGGCTCAGATTGCGTCTTTAATGTGAGGTTCGAGCTCAACTGTAACACATCTGATGATGGTTCTCAGAAACTCATCCTAGGAAGAAACATTGTGGTTTACGACATCTCCGATGCTGAATTCCGCATCTCCAATTCATTCGGTTGGAGATGTTACAACTCCAGTGGAGCTGTGATCGATGAATCACTCGCTTGGACCACACTTATAGAATCTGGTCCGTATAGTTTCTCTGCGCTGAACAGGCTTACTGTAGTTGGTTGCGATGACTATGCTTCCATCACAGGGCCTAATAACTTTGAGTATGGCTGCAATGTCAGCTGTACAAGCAGAGGGGATGTGATAGAAGGAGAGTGTATTGGAAAAGGCTGCTGCCAGAAACAGATACCCAAGGGCTTGAAATCCTATAACACAACCATGTCTAGCACAAAAAACCATACCGATGTTTGGTCGTTTAATTCATGTGGGTTCGCATTTCTGGGCGAGGCAGATCACTTTCATTTCCAGGGCTTGCCAGATCTAGGTGATGGTCTAACTGTTGATTATTTTTATGATAGGATTAAGGATAGTGTCCCCATTGTGCTGGATTGGGCCATCGGGAGTCTTACTTGCACTCAAGCTCTGAAAATCGAGAATTATGCTTGCAGTGAAAATAGCTACTGCATTGATTCCGATGCTGGTCTTGGTGGCTACCGCTGCAGCTGTAATACAGGCTATCAGGGCAATCCTTATCTCAATCAAGGCTGCCAAGGTATTCTTATAGGACCATTTCCCAATGAAAGCAGCTTTATGCTCCATTTGATCAAATCACAAGCTTTGATATAATGGTGTTCTATTTATTTGTTTTTTCCAGATATTGATGAATGTGCTGATCCAAGCACCAATTCGTGTGAAAAGAACTGCACAAACACCCTGGGGAGTTTCTATTGTTCTTGCCCCGATGGATATACCGATGATGGCAAAAAGGATGGTCGTGGTTGTATTCCTCCCGACTATGATCAAGAGTTCCCATGGATCAAGTTCTCTGTAGGTATATATCTTGGAAAACTTTCATAACCACAAATATCCATTTATGTGATAGTTATTTGACTGGGCATACTGTTTAGGAAAGGATTTTTTTTTTTAAAAGAAAAATTGTGGTTCAAATTATCTAGAAACATTTGTGTAGCTATAAATAATCTCATTAAGGGTAAAATTATAAGTTTAAAGTTAAATTATTTTGGAATATGTAAAATGTCATTCTTCTTTTAGGATGACTAAAAAAATTATCACCGAATATTATTTTCTGTGCTAGAGAATAACTGGAGTGGGGAGCTAGGAGTTATATATATTTCAAACAATTTTTGCAAACTTGTTTCTTTATTTAATCAAACTTTGAGATTTACATGTTTCTCGTATTACTTTTGCTTCCCCGTATTTCTTATAGAGAATTAAAAGAACTCCAAATTTTGGTATTTATACTGATGATTATGGTCTAAGACCAAGATCAAACTCAACTCTTTTTCTTCTGAAATCCGGACTATGTTTGAATTATACATAATATGTTTGAAGCTATGAAAGTTAAATTCCACTAATTATTCAGGTATTGGAATCGGCTTTATCTCTTTAGTGGTTGGGATAACCTGGCTCTATTTCAGCATCAAGAAAAGAAAATTGATTAGAGTCAGAGAGAAGTTCTTCCAACAAAATGGTGGTTTATTATTGAAACAGAGAATCTCCACTAAAGAGGGCGGTGTGGAAGTTACAAGAATATTTACAGCCGAGGAGCTCAAGAAAGCTACAAACAATTATGCCAATGATAGAATTCTTGGTCGTGGTGGCAATGGGATTGTATATAAAGGTGTGCTACGTGACACTCGCATAGTTGCCATTAAGAAATCTAGAATTGTGGACGAGAGTCAAATAGACCAATTTATCAATGAAGTGGTCATTCTTACTCAAATCAACCATCGAAACGTGGTAAGATTCGTTGGGTGTTGTTTGGAAGATGAAGTTCCTTTACTGGTTTATGAGTATGTCTCTGAAGGAACTCTTTACGAGCACATTCACGCCCAACGTGGAGCGGGTTGGTTAACTTGGCAAAACCGTTTGAGAATTGCAGCAGAGATAGCCACTACACTTGCTTACCTTCACTCATTTGCGTCCATGCCTATAATTCATAGGGATGTTAAGTCTGCCAACATATTGTTAGATAATGTTTACACAGCTAAAGTGGCAGATTTTGGGGCTTCAAAGTTAATTCCTCTGGATCAGTCACATGTGGCTACATCAGTTCTAGGGACATCAGGGTACTTGGATCCTGAATATTTTCGTACAAGTCAACTGACTGAGAAAAGTGATGTTTACAGCTTTGGAGTACTTCTGGCAGAACTTTTGACAGGGTTGAAACCTGTAATTAGAGATGGAAACGAGGAGCAAAAGAATTTGGCTGATTATTTTGCTTCATCCATGAATAAGAATCGCTTATTTCAAATTCTTGATCGTCGTGTTTTGCAAGAAGGGAATTTTGAGCAACTTCAAAAGATGGCTGAGCTGGTGAAGAACTGTCTTAACTTGCAAGGAGAAGATAGGCCTACAATGAAGGAAGTGGCTATTGAACTTGAAGGTTTGAGGACGTTTACTGGAATCTCTTCGTTTAATCAACATGGACAGAGAGATAATAATCAGGATGAATTATCAGATCTTTACGCAGTTCGCTTAGACTCCATACCCCCAATTTAGATAGTTCTCACACAATGCATCCTACATACAGTCCAAGTTGATGTTATGGAGGCTCCTTTCCTTTTCCCTCTCAATTTAGATTTTTCTTTAAGATACAATGTTGGAGATTTTTGCAGATATCATATATAGAACCTTTTGATGATAAGCATCCATTTTTATTGCCAGTAAAACCGATTAAATTGTTTTCGGGAAAAAAATCATTGTCCTAGCAGCAAATTTAAGGTGCATTCTCTTCTCGTAAAATATTGAAGTTTTAGCAGCAATTGTAATGGCAATTAACACTATATTTTGATATATTTTTTTCCCTTTCATCAAATTTGTCCCGCCTATTCTTTAGGATTCAAGTTTTCATAGTTAGAGAAACTTGAAACACGACTTCAGGAAGTCCCAGGACAGATTATATCAAAAGTTTATGAAGAGTGAATTAGGGGTCTGGAAAGAGGATTTCTTTTTTCGACCTATATGGTGTTGGTTCATTAAGCAAGAACCTACAATCTCTTGAGTTTGAAGTACTCAAAAACTTGATCATTTTCTGCTTAGATTTCTGATACAAGCAGATAGTTTAGATACAACACTTATAAGATAACTACCCCTAGAAACTAGGACATGACTTCTTAACATTAATGGAATGAGAAACTGCAATTTACCATCGAGAAATAACACTACTACTAGAATGAAAACTGCAAATAACTACTAGAAAGAAATAACTACAGCAAGTAAATACTACTACTACTACTACTACTGTTAACAATTGGGAGACTAAGGAGTGATAAGAATGCAGTAGTACTTGCAAGTTACAATAGAGGCTTGGATCAAGGCAGCAATGAAGAGCAAGACGTCTTCCTGTTTCCTTCCGAATAAAAGTGTAGATGAGCTTGCCTAGAGAATTCAAAGAAATCATTGTTCCAAAATTGTCCAGTAGTATAATAAATATTGACTGAAGTCCACTAACTGCTCATTCCGATATCAGGTAAACATGCATCTGAGAAATGTACCCTTTTGGACAAGCTAAAGTCAATGTTTTTCATTACCTATAGTATTTCTAATATAACTGGATTTTGTTGTTTCAGTAACTATGGTTGGTACAAATGACATAAATTTTGTTCAAGGTAACGAAATAAGTACTCAATCAATTTTTCGAGATAATCCAGAAGAAAACCTTTAATGCAGTATCAACAAGCAAATTCAAGAGAAGTGAGCATTTGTTTATAAGTTTCCATCCAAATATTGGATAATTGGAGTCTGGAATTATAATTGTTTCTCTAGTTTAGTTTGTGCTAGAGGTTTATAAAATTGAGACATGGAGCCATTAACACTTGGCTTTCACTTGGAATTATGTTTTTGGAAAATGCAAATTATGTGGAGGTTAACCACATATCTCAAACACTTCCTATAAGTACTAACCATGACTGAGGAACGATTACAAGACTTAAAAGGATTAAAAAACTTCTAGGTGCTCCTTGAGTGTAAACTCATTATCATCCCTGACAAAGAAAATATGCATATTGATTCAGAAATGCAAGCAACATACCATTAATAACTTCAGGAACTTTCTTACAGGCCTCGATATAAACTTCGAATAAGCTCCTGGGCGCATCAAAAGCAGGAAAAGATCACATTGTCACTCAACATAAACACATGGAAAGGAGGAATTAGTGTTCAACACTGCCGCTGCAAGGGCAATTGATAGGATGTGAGATAAACTAAACAGCACAAACAAGAGTCGCAATTGAAAACTCCATGCCTCATACCTCGTTTCGCACACAGATCAGAGGAATTCAACGTACTTTTCATAACAAGAGTGATTGAATTGATTGTTAACCTTGAGATATTGGTTTTTGACGCAGATTCAGAAGAAATTCGCAATTGTAATTTTAATCAAAACAATTTGTTTTTGTTAAGCACCAACAATGGTGAATGAATGAGAAAACAGTAAGCTAAGAAGAAGAGAGAAAAGTGAAGTTTCATTCAGTTCATCATGACTGCAGTAGTAGTAGTTTACAATGATACCTATACATCACTATATAAAGGTGTGAATCAACTAACTAACTAGATTAGTTAAGTTACCTAACCACAGTTAATCATAACTAACTTCTGTAACTACTTATTAACAAACTTGTAACTAACTTTTGCCCTTTACACTTTAGCTCAACACCCCTCCTCAAGCTGATGGTTGAAAGATGTCTTTCAATCCCAGCTTGGACATTAAGGGGTTGTTTGGTAGAGTGTATTAGGAAATATAATGCATGTATTAGGTGTGTGTATTAATAGTACCTTGTTTGGTACACTTTTTCATGTCATGTATAACTAATGCAAACATTAGTTATACACTCTATTGTGTATTAAGTTGTGTATTACTAATACCAAGGAATTCTAGGTATTAGTAATACATAGCATTTTAACACTTGCATTAGATTAAATAATTACAAAACTACCCTTAAAGCCTTTTCATTTTCTTTGTTGTAATAAGTTTTTGTTTTTATTTTTATTTGCTTTTTAGTGTCTTTTAATTTGTTGGTGTTTTAATAGGCTTTATGGCCTCTTAAGTATTTTTTTTTAAAAAAAATAAATCTAATTTCAATATAATTTAATCACAATTTTTACTATTGTGAGGATAAATTTGATAAAAAAATAATTCTTTGCAAACTTTTCACAAAAATATTTTGACGCAATAGTACAACTATTTAATATTATTTATGAAAAGAAGAAGAAGAAGAGTTAATGGTGTTTTAGCAAAGATTTTTTTTTTTATGTTTTAGCAAAGAACTTTGTTGCAAAGGAAGTTTACAAATAAATAAAGTATGAAGAGTAGTTTTGTAAACATATATTTTTTAATAGAAATTATGCAAGATTTGTTATTTCTAATACATCAAACCAAACAATGTATAAGAAATAATGCATGCATAACTAATGCAGGCATTACGAATGCAAGCATTACTAATGCACCATATTTTGCATTGTTCTTATACACTCTACCAAACGACCCCTAAGTGTAGATGTGGAGCTTTCCAAAGCCCTTTAGTAAGTAAGTCTGCTAGTTGATCCCTTGTTGATACATGTTGAGTCTTGATCATATGTTGTAATATCTTTTCTCTAACAAAGTAGCAATCAATATCAAAATGCTTGGTTCTTTCATGAAAAATGGGATTAGATGCAATTTGAATTCACAAAATAGATCTACTAGTTGTTTAATGTTGACTCCTAACTCCTTGTATAGCCAAATGAGCCATGTGATTTCAGCTACTGCTGATGCCATGCTCCTGAACGCAGCTTCAGCAGAACTCCTAGCAACAGTCTCTTGTTTCTTCGATTTCCAAGAGATAATAGCATCACCAAATTTTACAAGATAGCCTGTGATAGATTTCCTTGATTGCACACAAGTACCCCAATCTGAGTCACAGTAGGTAGTTAGTAATTCTGAGCTTTGTGAAGGCATAAACAGGCCTAACCCTGGAGCTGTTTTAATATATCTGACTACCCTGAGAGCTGCTTCCATGTGAGACTCTTTTAAAGCATCCATATACTGACTCAAAACTTGAACAATAAATGATATGTCTATCCTGGTCATAGTGAGATATAATAATCTCCCTACTAACCTTTGATATCTCCCAATATCCTTCAAAGACTTGTCTGCCTATATGATTCCTGAATCACCTTGCACATGTGAATCATATTCAATGGAAATCAGCCTTACATTAGGATCTAGTGGAGTGTGAACTGGTTTTGCACAACTTAATCCCATCTCAGAAATAAGTTCCAAGGCATATTTGCGCTGGTTCATAACATACCCCTCCTTGGACCTAGCAAATTCAATGCCAAGAAAGAATGTTAACTCCCCAAGATCCTTCATGTTGAACTTGAGCTGAAGATCATTCCTGGTTTGAACAATCAAGGAATCACAACTCCCAGTAACAAGAAGATCATCCACATACACTAGGACCACAACCAGGTCAGTACCAGTCTGCCTAGTGAATATAGAGTAGTCATAGTGATTCTGAACAAACCCAAGCTGAAGTAATGCTTCAGTTAACTTCAGATTTCACTGTCTATGGGCAGCTTGAGACCATACTGTGATTTGTGAAGCTTACAGACTTTAGTAGACTCCTCAAACTTAGTAAAACCAGATGGAACCACCATGTATACATCCTCAAGGAGATCACCCTGTAAGAGATCTCCTATAAGAAAGCATTATGAACATCCATTTGAAAAATAGGCTAATGTTTAGCAGCAGCAACAGCCAAAACTGATCTAATTGTGACCATTTTAGCAACAGGGGAAAAAGTTTCAGTATAGTTTATCCCCTCCTTCTAACTGAACCCCTTGGCTACTAATCTAGCCTTGTACCTCTCAACAGCTCCTGAGGCCAAATATTTGACCTTAAACACCCATTTACAACCAATAGGATGTTTGCCAGGAGGAAGGTCAACAATGCTCCATGTGTTGTTGGCCTCCAAAGCACTAATTTCAGCCTTCATGCCATCAACCCATTGAGGATGGGAAGAAGCCTCAGTAAATGATGTAGGCCCATAGACAGAGGAGTAAGCAGTAAATGCAGCATCATAGGAAGTAGAGAGAAGATCATAGGACACATGATTGGAGACAGGGTATAAACAAGCAGACCTAGACTTAGGAGTGATAAAATCAGTCATCCATGGTCTAGAGGATTTTCTAAGACCAACAGACTCAGGTGTAGGAATGGGAAGTGGAGGAAGTGGCACAGGAGAACTGGACTCAGGATTCAAAGAGAAGTCAGAAGTCTCAGTGAGAGCCTGATCACACAAAGGGATCTCTGCACAATGTAAGTCTGTGGAAGTAGAAGTGTCTCATGTAATTGGAGCACAGGAAAAAGAGGAGAACTGGAAGGACTCATATGCTGAAAAGGAAAGATGGATTCTTTAAACACAACATCTTTGCTGACAAAGAAAGTTTTGGTATGTAAACTATAAAGTTTGTAGCCCTTTTGAAGACTAGAATAACCAAGAAACACAGTTGGAACAGCT